TGTTTCGTGCATATTTGGCTGGATTTTCGTGGCAATGTCTCTCACACAAAAGCCACTCCTGTTCCAAAGTTCAGCTCCTTACTTCAAAGCGTGGAACTGGTACAGCTCTTCAAAGGAAGGCTCCTCAGAGTTTAAGATTAGTAAAACAATATATTTTTCCCGGCAGAAGAGTTTCAGCTGAAATTTTAAAAACAAATAAATGCATAAATCACAATTTAGCCCGAGACAGACGCCCAGCATGGCCAATTTCAGCCAGAACGTTTAAAGTTTGGCAAAGCTGTAAGAGACTGAAAACCGTCTCATCATCTGAAGTGTGTGGCATACTTCATCCAAGGCGATATTATCAGCTGTAAGTAATCCAAGCTGCACATGTAATTCATAGACATAGATGTTAGGGAAGGAAAAAACAATTCTAGTACATCAATTAGTGCCGTGTCCCAGCCCGAATCGAACTGTTGAACAAAACCCCACAAAATCTGGTATCTGCTGCAGCAAATGTCTTAACGCTGAAGGTCCCCAAAACACAAGTGAATCATTTAGCTTCTAGTGAATGTATTTAACTCTATGGAGCTGAATTTCCTTCCGACAGACTGCTCAGTGGCTCTCGAATACAGCACCACTCTGTTCTCTTGCGTCCAGTGATTAGACGTTGACTTGATGTGCTAGAAATTTCCCCATCAGACATATGCAGTAAGCCAAGGGGATGGTTTTTTTGACAGTGACCTTGTAGCATAAAAAGACGAAACAAATTGCAAGATTTGTAAGTTACAAAATTATCCTCTAACCCTTCAAAGTAGCTGTCAGCTTGCTATACACCCAAGGAGTTAATCTATCCGTGGCATATTATGATCTTCAATAACTGGAAGCGATTGGCCAAAGTGCAGAAATTTGTTGCCTTGTTTTCTGCAAACCACAAGGCCAGGTTATTAACTTAGAAGTGAACATTAACTGGCATTAGCTGGCATTTGTAAACCGAAAAAGAGAAATGACCACGGCGCGCATTCAGCTGTGAACGGTAGAGCTGCAGAGCTGCTACAGGTAAAATTGGTTTTTAAGCGTGAATGCGAAACCATTTTAGTCGGCTGCTGGCAAATGCCCAAGTCTGGCATTTTTAATGAGGCTTCTGCATCAAAATAAGTGAAACCACATGGATTTTAATTGTTCTTATTCTAAATATGAAACACACTGGAGCAGTATTCTTGAATCTGGGACTTTAGCATATATATTGGCATATTAACGTTACCACTTTTCTGCTCTATATGTACAGCTCTCGGAAAACTGGAGTGCCAGGTTACATTCAGGATGAATCAGCTTGGAAGGCTTAAAAACAGTTTAACCTGGGCTCCTTTGGATGTAAAGGTTTTTTCTTAAAAAATACACTTTTTTGTTTTTTTGCATCATCAAGCACTCTGATCAGACTGCATAGCAAAAGAGGATCGCTTGCTGTGCTTGTGGCCGTGTTTCTGGCAGCACAAAATGAAGTCCCTTCTCTTTACAGAAGTGTGGTTTCGCAATCTCGCGGCCGCGATGTGGGGCGGAGGATCTGCGCTTCACCCGTTTAGTACAAGCTATCACGAGAGTGGGAATTCACAGATGCAAATTGTTTCCTTGCTCTGGTGGAGGATAAATCAGCATAAATCTTTAATCCTGCTGGGGAGGGGATAAATAAATTATTTACTTGCACTGTCATGTTACCGTATTGCTGATCTTCATCACTATTTGTGCGCAACTAGATAGACAAAGATGGGTGCTATACCCAGAAAAGCTGTTTATCTTCCCAGTCCAGCAAAGAGCTAAAGGTGTATAAATGAATATGCATCTGGTGTTTGCAAGTTAGAACCAAAATCAATCTTAAGACAAGAAGGTAGCCTAGAGGGGGGAGGAGGAGGAGGGTGAAAACGCACCCGTGAGATTGCATAGCAGTGAGGACGGCAAGAAGCTGAGCTTTAGAGGTGACTTGAAAAGTTTCTAGGCTCACTTAGAAAAGAGGCTTTAGAACTGAATTTTTTCTGATCTCCAAAAATATCTTTAGACAGTGGAGATACAGAAGGCTGGGAACAAATCCCAGTCTAGTGCAGGGGGTTAGGGAGGCAGTGGAAGGAATTTGGGCGGCAGGGGGGCTGAAGAAGTGAGCGTGCAGGAGCCGTGCAGACACGGCCATGAGTGAGATAAGAAAGGGTTGTGGTTATTTGGCCTTTGGGTAAATAGGGTTGTGCTTTACAAGCAACAGTAGAAACAAACAAGTGTGGCTTTACTAGGGTATGTGGGGAGGGCTGTAGCCCCACGTTAGAGATGCCTACGTGTGGTGTGCACATTCCCAGTCCTTCAACACATACATGATCTCTTGGCAGCACCCGTACAGATAATGTTTGGATCTAGCCCTGAAAGGGAGATTGCCTTTTAATGTGTAAAACCGTGTGGATAGTTATTAAAAAAAAAAATAAAAAGAGTATTGGTTGCAAGGAAACCAAAAATGGCGATGTTGTTCTACACCCTTACACGCCTACCAGTTCTACCTTTGATTATAAAAGTCTTGTCTAGCTTGTGTCAGGGTAAACTAAAAGCAACTCTGTTCATGTTGGGAGAGTTGCAGTAACAATAAGAAAAAAAGGAGTATAAGCGGTAGCAGACTGAAACTCAGTATTTTGAGCAGCTGGGGAAATTATGCTCTAACCTTATATTTCCAGATATGTATCAGACCTGTTCACAATATAAAGGATAGCGTTCCAAAATTACAGCTTTGAATCTGGGTGGTATCGCCTCCGGCTATTGTTTGCAGTTGGGAACGAAAGAAGTTGCATCAAGTAGTAGAGTGTTTGCTGTAAAGGTACAAGTTATATTACATTCCACGGTGCTGTGGTTGGAGGGCTTGATGATGGAGACAGACCCATTCACCCGTAGGTCACTGATTCGGTTCCAGATAAAGATAATAGTACTCACATTGTCAGCAGAGTTAAAAATGGGCTTTTCCTGCCCGTCGAAAGCTCTGTGCTCAATATCTTTTGAGATGGCAGATTATAATCCCCAGGTTTCAGGCTGTGTGAGCTGGACGCTTGGCTGGCTGTGGCCCAGGTCCTCCAGCCTGAACCCAAGCTGTGCCTGAGCTTTGCTCCCTGCCACTGTTAGATATTCTCTGATAGTACGTTGAAGGCGTAGGTGAAGTGAGCTGGTAGAAGAGGAGAGGGTACAGATCTAAATCACGAAATGTACCACACAAGGCGGCAGGGTCTGCTGAATCTGTGGGTTGTGATGGGAACCACCACAGTGGGTTATGGTAGCAACCACCACGGTGGGTGCTACAGGGGGCCAAGGGTGGGAGGGCTGGAGGGACCCTCCTTCGCCACAGCAATGTCAGCAGGTCAGATGCAAAGCCTGTCTGCAAGGAGAAACATTGCTGTATCTATAGGCTGCCCAGGGAGATGATGGAGTCCCCATCCCTGGAGGTGTTTAAAAAACACGTAGACTGGGGTATGGTTTAGTAGGCATGGTGGTGTTGGGTGGATGGTTGGACTCGATGATCTTAGAGGTCTTTTCCAACCTATGAATCTGTGAGTCTATGATTCTGTGATCTTACGCTGAGGATACACGTGGTGTTTCAGTGGGTAGCACATCAGTTTGGCATCTAGAAGATGCCATATTTTCCTTTTAGGTAAATCAGATTTGGTAGATCTTCAAAGAGATGGGTGAACCCTTGGATCTAAGGGAACTATAAAGCTGTAGAAGTGTCAGCTGGGAAGTGCAGGGAAAGCCTGTTTGGTTTCATGATTTTTCGCCTTTATTTATACCTCGCTCTTCCCAGCTCTCTGTAAATACGTATATATGTGTCTACGGCGTACTGGCCGACGTGCCCGCCTCCGCCTGCGCTGTGCTTCTTCATTAGGCTTTTTCTATTTCCCCCTGTCCCTTTTCCCACACCCTTTTTGTTTTCCACTTCTCTGGCTCTCAGTGCCAGCTTTCACCGCCTTTTTCTTCTGCTCCTGTCCATCCCACAGTCTCCTAAGCAGATCACTAAGCTACTAACGTTTGCTTTCCACTTCTGCCCCGAAACTTTGGGTGTTTGATGTGGGATTAGAAATTAGGCAAAATGAGTTTACCCGTCCCTGTTTTGCGTTAGACTCCAGTTCACAGCTTTACCATCCAGACGTTCACAGTAGCCGTGAACTGTGTGGTCTTTTTTTTCAACCAGACTGCAGAGACTACAGATGAAAACAACTTTTTTCAATGGCAAAAAGAGCGTTGGGCTTGTAATTTTCCATCGCCTGCACTGAGAAGTCAAATTTGCATCTTTGCTGTCGGCTCAGGGGCTTTACCCATCCTTTGGATGCAGCAAATAATATTTTTTGGCCGTAGGACATACCCGAGCAGATCCTCACCTAAAGAAATTGATTGAAGGGCAGAAGTGGGGCTCAATCACCCCCGGTGTAACTCCTCTGGTGTCAGTGGTGCAACTAACTCGGTGTTGCCAACGCTTCCAGTTTTACTCCAAGTCGCACGGTAATTTCTGTTTTTCTGGAAAGCCCAGCTCCCGACGGCGTGTGCTGAGGTGGCATCTCAGCTTTCATGTGCAACCAGACCTGAGTTTCTCGAGAGGCTATAGCAAAAACCCAGAGACGCGTAACCCTCAAAACCCAGAGACCAGAAGGCAAATCGACTTCAAATCCACCTTTCTCTTTTTGGCGCTTTTTCAACCTCTTGATTTTTGAGATTATTTCCCCCCGCCCCCCAGCCTGACTTGTGACCTTTGAACGCTTCAGGTTGGCAATGCTGCTCCCTCCATTGGCATCGGTGGAGTTAGACCAGGGATGAGTTTGGCCCAGCGCTTGTAGAAGACGGGTATATGACTCGGTTCCTTGCAATGTATGATTTGATATGATCTGCTGTTCTCTTGGGGGCCAAAAGAAGTGGGTTTTTCTTAGAAAAATAAAAATTCTATCATCACTTGATACAAAAAATGGTATTTACAGAATTGTTTTCCCCCGTCTTTTGTTATAATTTTTTAGGTGCTTCCGAGCTGGGCCCATTTTCAGATCCCAGGCAGTTCACAAGCATTTCATCCCTCACTGAGAGCCGCTTCTCCAACCCACGAATGCACTATCCAGCCACCTTTACCTATACACCGCCAGTCACCTCAGGCATGTCACTGGGTATGTCCGCAACCACTCACTACCACACCTACCTACCACCACCCTACCCCGGCTCTTCCCAAAACCAAAGTGGACCTTTCCAGACCAGCAGCACTCCATATCTCTACTATGGCACTTCTTCAGGATCATACCAGTTCCCCATGGTGCCGGGAGGGGACCGCTCCCCCTCCAGGATGCTCCCGCCGTGCACCACCACGTCCAACGGCAGCACGCTCTTAAACCCTAACTTGCCCACCCCAAGTGACGGGGGGGGGGGGGG